GAGAGAGAGAGAGAGAGAGAGAGAGAGAGAGAGAGAGAGAGAGAGAAAGACAGAGAGAGACAGATAAATATATAGAGAGAATAGAGAAGGATAACACGCGCAGTAACGAATGAAAAATGTTTTCTTCTGCAATATCATAGAAAACACGATCGCTTCGTTGTATGAGACGCGATTGTTTACTAAGGAAAAGTCTTTGATATTTATGACTGTAATTGCACAGTGAAAGGATCATAGAATGATTTTTGTAGTGAGTGTTAATAATATACAAAGAAAAAGATTTCTTTGGATATAATCAACTTTATCTTATTCAAACAAATTTTATTATTAGAATGATTCGGAAAAGCTAATATTTCAATTAGTAAATACGACTGTTTAACTTTTCAAGAAATTTTATTATTTTGTTCAAATAATTTATTGTTTGTTTTGAAGAAGAAAATTGCTCCACTTAATTTTTTCATTTTATCAAAACAACTCGATAATTCTGTTTAAATAATTTAGCAATTTTTTGTTCGTATTACTGATTTGGCCTATTGTTTTAATACTTCATCGTGTGCACTCTTCTTTCTCTTGTTTAAATGACAATGTTTTTTCCATCAAACAACTTCATTTAGTCTAATAAAATAAACTGTGTATGATATTAAATGTAAAATTGTTTAATATAAAGTTATTTTATTTATTATTAGATCAAATAAATCGAAATCAAACAGATAGGAATATTAAATTCAAAAAGATCTTTTTTGTATAATAACTTCATATCATATTGCTATATTTTTATTATATTATTATACTGATTTTTTATTATGTTATTTCCAACTATTATTTTCTTTTCGTCAGAATAACAAAAAGATATAGTTGGCGTTGAAATTTACTTTAATTTCAGTAACATTAATCATTTTTTTTCTCAGTGTATAATATTATTTCAATCTGAGAATCTTAGAAGCATTAATCTTTGAGAAAATGATTATAATGTTAATAAATAACTATTATATACTGTAATCTTAAAATAATTTAAAAAAGTGATTATATTACTACAAATAATGAGACCAATCATTTTCTCTTCTATAGTATAACAAATAAACCAACCCAAAATGTACACTCTGATTTCTTCCTAATTTGGCGCAAATTTGGCACAAATGTAAAAGTACAAAAAAATATTTAGGTTATATTTTTTTAGTTCACTTTGAGTTTCACGGGCAGTTTATAGCTTTTTAATGTTCTCATTCCTATCAACAAGTGCAACAACAATGCATAAGAAATAAAATTGAATACAAGATATAATTAAATAATCTTAACAAAATTGACATAGTTGAGACACGAACCATTCTAAATTTCTTTAGCCGAGATTCCAACCGAAATATTTCAAATCTGTGCTAAATTAGTCTAAATGATTCGAATTTCGGCCAAACCGAGAAATCCGGTAATTTTAATTTAAATTTTAACAAAATTGGTATAGCTGAGACAAGAACCATTCTACATTTCTTTAGCCGAGATTCCAACCAAAATATTTCAAATCTGTGTTAAATTAGTTAAAAATGGTTCGAATCTCGGCCAAATCGAGAAATTATTTGTATAATTTTTTTTAATTTTTTAAATGTTTCGTTTAAACATTTCATTATCTATACAAATAATTTTACACATTTGACTTTATATTCATAATCAGCAAACCAAAAACATCTATATCTTGTATTCAATCTTATTTCTTATGCATTTTTGTTGCATTTGTTGATGATAGGAGTGAGAACACTAAAAAACTATAAACTGTTCGTGAAACTCAAAGTAGGCCAAAATAAAAAAATATGACCTAAATATATTTTATACTTTTACACTTGTGCCAAATTAGAAAGAAATCGGAGTGTAACTTTTGGGTAGGTTTACTTGTAAGTGTGTTCTCTGAAAAAATCGAAGATACGAAAGAGAAGAAAGAAAGCGTTATGAAAAGTTGAATGATGTTTTCTCCACCGCAATCGTGTCAGTTGACAACGCGTCACTCTCGCAAATTTATTCGCGCGTCAGCTTTCGTTTTAATGTATATTGTTGCTTCCAGGTTGGTCGATGATAGGTGTGTAGTATGTCCCGAAGCCGGAGATTTGTCGAACCCACCGAAGAAGTTCAGAGGTAATTCATAGTATTCGATTTCCACTAATGATATATATCGAGACGGAAAGATATCGGCAATTCGCTCGACGTTTAATATCTCACGATATGTCATCGGTTCGCGTAGAGCTCCAAGCGAGTGACGTTGAGTCGAGCATGATGAAAGGTCTCGGACAATAACGATCATCGCTTTTTATAGATTGCCTCTTCAAAATATGTCCTATGAACCGGTATTCCGCCCAAAAGCAGTTCTGGAAGGCGGCAAAACAGAGCGCGAGCTCCGGCACCGACGCCGTCTTGCTCAAGAGACTCCACGTAAGTTGCAAAAACCGTCATATTATGTCGTCGAGTCACTTTACCGCTGAGAACGTACTCGTCAACCGAGATTTCGTACGGCACGTTTTATTAATACGCGACACGTACGACAAGTAATATAAACGCATGATAACGCGTATGAGTACCCATAGATAGAGGATATCAAACCGGTTCTCACAATGTGGCCGGTTTACGGATTATCAATCAGATATTCAATCAGATTATCCATCATGCACGAGGAGCGTGATTGTGTCTCTGGCGAAGCAGTCTGCAAAATTAAAAAACAGAAATAAAAGGTCGACAAAGCGCTTAGAGCGCGTCTCGACGCCTTGTCGATAAAGTTTCAGCGCTCGCGTTTAATCCGATCGAGTCAAGCCGTAAAATCGATCGATTGTTCATTTAGATTTTCCGTCATGCACAAAGAGCGCGTGATTGCGTCCCCGGCGAAGCAATTTCCAAAATTGAAGAACAAAAATGAAAGGTCGACGAAACGCTTAGCGCACGTCCCGACGCGCGATAATGTTTCAGTGCATTCAATTTGAGAAATTGTCGTAAAAGATATCGTTTGAGATACATGACATTTTATCCTTGTCATTCGGGATACATATCGATCGAGTTTCTGTGACAAAAAGGTTGCACAACACGTTTCTTTTCGATTCGCTTTGGTGTGAAATTGCTAAAACGCTCGTGCGATTTCCAGTCGTTTTGAAACTCATCAAATTGCAAAGTGCGACCTTTTTGCTGCCGGCCATATACAACAATATTCCGATATCGCGATCACATGTCAGTTCAACGTGACTCATTTTCATCGCAGCACGCGGCCGAAATCGAGAAGAAGCAAAATGAGACTGAAAACAAGAAGCTGTTGGGCAGCGTGGTATCGTACGGCAACGTCGTGCAGGTGAGCAATCATTGTTTTCTTATGGGAAAATGCGATCCCTTCCAAGTAGATATTATATCTTGAGCGTTTTACACGCTTGACCGCATATTCTTACAACGTAGAAAGGGCCGCGATGTGTATAAATAATAATAGATCCATCAATACCGTTAGGGGAGCTTTCCCCCTTGACGCCCTTTTTTGCAAAGCGATCATAAAAACTGTTCGGCCGGTAGATCCATCGCGTGTCCATCGACATGGTTATCTGGCTACCTACAGGGAACACGCGATAAGTGCTTGCTGAATTAACAGGTTTCCTCGCTTGCGCGATATGTCGTTGCCGTGTCGGAAAATAGAAGCGACGCGGCGTATAAAGTGTAACCTCCGTAGCGAGCAATCGCGACGTGCCCTTTCGTGCCGTGACGTTGCTAAAAACTGAGCGATTAGCAGCCAACAAGCTGCTTCTGATCGTCGACGAATCGAAAAGCATTGCGTCGCACATATTGCACACGTTGTGTTCTGCACTTTCTAATTTTTCTAGCAGTTCTATCTCGCTTACAACTTGCAAAAATTGAAGCACTAGTGAAAATACTGCTGTTTGAAATTGTAAGACTGAACATTTCTCTCTAGCTTATAATTCATTGTGACCTTTTTATGAGTGAATGTTTCCACCGATTAGAATGGAGTTCTATTTGAATGAAATTTTAAATGCAGTTTCTACATGAAGTTCTAAATGTAGTCTGAGGGAAATTCTAAATGTGTAAAACGGAATTGTTCCTATAACAATGGAATCAGACTCGTTTTTCAATTTTGAGTGAAAATGTACACTCGGCGATTCAGAGTGGACAATTCATTTTATGTGAGTGAGATGTCAATCAAATTCGAATGACTCGATTGTTAATCTCCCTTTCAATCTCCCTGTGATTTTATTGTAAGAAATTTCAGTTTATTCAATTTATTCAATTTCACTCTAAGGCTCGTATTAATAATCGTTACTTGAAATTTGTTCCAGATGCTCTAATCTGAATTTAGAATTAGATTTGAGTTTTTTTTTCGTTAATACATATAATATGCGATATTACGTTTGTAATCGCAATTCAACTTAAAAATTTACATCTAACTCTAAATTCAAATTCAAATATCTCACTTGAAACACGTTTCAAGTACTGACTATTAATATAGCTTTAAGAAACGTTCTTTAGATTTCTTGGAGTAAAATTTCACTCAGAACAGATGAAAATTCACTTGAAGCGATAGTGAAAATATTGACACTTGAATTTGTAAGACTAAATGTTTTACTCCAGCTTCTAATTAATTCTGTGAGTGAATGTTTCATTGACTTAGAATGAAATTGTTCCTGGAATACATTACATGCGCTCTTCAGTTTTGAGTGAAAAATTCACTTGGCGATTTAGAGCGGAGGGTTCACGTGAGTAAAAAATCACTTGAATTCGAGTGACTCGATCAGTCTGTTTTTTGAGTGAAATTTCACTTTAAGAAAGTGTACTCTTTCAAGAGTACGTATCACATGCGTTACTGATCGCAGCGATGAGTGAACGTCATTGGACTTTCGATTAATTTCTACTGTAATTGTATTATCGATGCATTCTCATCTTTCGCGCACTCCTTACTGATGTGTCATACGAATTTGCATTGACTAATCCGCAAGTTGTAACCCCGTTGTTATCTCGGATTATGTACCGCGCATACCGCGGTCATACGTTATCGAATATTTTATTTATCACGACGCGTAGGAATTAAATTGACGAGATAACGCAAATTCGTGTGAATAACGGATACCATGTGAAACGTAAATGTATAAATAAGTAATTAATGCAGAATCCAATAACGAGCTTCGCTGCGTTTGCATAAATCTCCTTCGTCTCATTTATCTGCGTTCCGTGCGATTCTGCCTGTCCGTGCTAATTTTTTTTCTCTCCTCTCATGCCGCACAGCTGCTGCATCTCAAGTCCAATAAATTCCTGACGGTGAACAAGAGATTGCCGGCCTTGCTGGAGAAGAACGCGATGCGGGTTTATTTGGACGCGAACGGCAATGAGGGCTCGTGGCTTTACATAATGCCGTTCTACAAGTTGCGCAGCGACGGCGACAGCGTGGTCGTCGGTGATAAAGTGATTATGGAGCCGGTGAATGCAGGCCGACAGGGTCTCCATGTGGCCGCCAACTATGAGCTGAGCGACAATCCTGGCTGCAAGGAGGTGAACGTCGTGAACTCGTCCACCTCGTGGAAGGTGACGCTCTTCATGGAACACCGAGAGAACCAAGAGGAGATTCTCAAGGGCGGCGACGTCGTGCGGCTGTTCCATGCCGAGCAGGAGAAGTTCCTTACGATGGACGAGTACAAGAAGAAGCAGCACGTGTTCCTGAGGACCACCGGCAGGACTAGCGCCACCGCTGCCACTAGTAGTAAGGCCCTGTGGGAAGTTGAGGTGAATCTAACGAGTTATGCTCGTTGAATTTCATTTATGCAGAATACTTTATCACTGCTTACGTTTGGGTCACGTCTCCCAGACTTTCTATTATTTATGAGCTAAACTCGTACAACATGTTTCAAGCATGTAGTGTAACGTGTGCTTTTGTTTTATCTGAGAGTCCATTTAAATAAATGTTCCGTGCGAGCATCAATTAAATGCCAACGCAAGAAGTCAATTCGGATACATTTGGATTATATTAGATCATTTTCGGTGCGTTTGCGTCTCATGAGCAATTTAATTTTTGTGACAGGTGGTGCAGCACGATCCGTGTAGAGGAGGTGCCGGCCACTGGAATTCACTCTTCAGATTTAAACATCTAGCGACAGGCCAGTATCTCGCTGCTGAGATTGATACGGACGAGCCGCGGGAACCCGTAAAAGGCAAGCGCGGTATGTTATACAGTTGTGTGTTCCGGGGTTAATTGTACGCATTAAATATCTGAAAGGGAAATATTTCACAGCAGAGGTTTATGTTACGTCTTATATAAAGATTTATTTTTTGAATAGAAAGTACCTTTGATTTTTAATGAATTATATCGTGTGTTATCGAGAATTATGGTATTTAATGAATTATATTATATTATTTTAATTATATTTGTACTATGATTTACAACAGATCCACCTGGAGCGATCTATAGATTAGTATCGGTGCCGCACAGCAACGAGATCAGCTCTTTGTTCGAATTGGATCCTACGACGTTGACGCGAGGCGACAGTCTAGTTCCGCAATCGTCTTTTGTCAGGTTACATCATATATGTACGAATACCTGGGTCCATTCAACGAGCGTGCCAATCGATAAGGATGACGAGAAGCCTGTGATGTCGAAGGTATTGTCCATGTATTTTAACGATCATATCTTACGCGTTAGAGATCGTAAAAGAAATTTATGGATCGAGAGTAGGTATAAATTTTCTCACTCACACACACATACACAGGCATATTCAATTATTTCTTAAAGGTGGGCTGTGCAATTAGTAAAGAAGACAAAGAAGCCTTCGCTTTGAGATCCGTGTCGCCAGTCGAAGTGCGCGATTTAGATTTCGCGAATGACGCCTGCAAGGTGTTGACGGCTATGAGCAGCAAGCTGGAGAAGGGAACGATCTCGCACAACGAACGAAGAGCTGTCACTAGTTTGTTACAAGACATCGTATACTTCATAGCCGGCTTAGAGAACGAACAAAACAAATCCGAAGCGTTAGAATTAATCGTTGCGAATACTGTGAGAGATCGCCAGAAATTGTTACGCGAGCAGTATATTCTCGGTCAATTGTTCAAGATATTGCAGGTAATTTAATAGCTCGATATAAATCGCGTAGCGTAAAGTATCCGTTAAGGATACTTGATTTAAGGCAACTTGATTATAGGCTCCATTCTTGGAATCTGCAGAGGGTGAAGGGCCATTTCTTAGGATAGAAGAACTTAATGATCCGAGGCATGCGGCGTATAAGTACATGTTTCGTTTGTGCTATCGAATCCTCAGACTTTCGCAGCAGGATTATAGGAAGAATCAGGTATTCAATTTGCATAATCATTATTCGCGTTTTATATATCTCCAAGTGTTTTAGAAACAGTCTCGCTCGTTATCATGAAGTACACGTGTGTGGTTAATTTTTGTTATAGGAATACATCGCCAAACATTTTGCATTTATGCAAAAACAAATCGGCTACGATATTCTGGCGGAAGATACGATTACCGCGCTTTTGCATAACAATAGAAAATTATTGGAGAAGCATATAACAGCCGCAGAGATAGAAACGTTCGTGGGTCTCGTTAGGAAAAATATGCATAATTGGGAATCGAGATTTCTCGATTACTTGTCGGATCTATGTATTTCCAATAAAAAGGCGATCGCAGTGACGCAGGAATTGATCTGCAAGAGTGTACTCAGTGAAAAGAATAAAGATATTCTGTTAGAAACGAAGTAAGTCCGATGAGTACTTATGAGTACATCGTTAATTTCTCTAATATATTTTAATTTGCCCTAGAATGGTGAAGACCCAGGTGGAAGTCGAAGATATAGACGAGAAGCAGGAGAACGCCGAACCGAAAATCACCGTCATCGAAGAATTCGAGGTCGTATTGGAATCGAATAATAGAACCGTGAGTATATACTGGATAATAGTTTATCGGGAAGTAAGTAATATGCGTGTAAATTGCAATAATACGACGTTGTACCCCAGAAATCGATGTCTCTGAGTGAACTGTCGCGGGGAGCGAAAATGGGAAATATTCAAGACGCAGCGATCCTGGATTATTACAGGCATCAGTTAAATCTGTTCAGTAACATGTGCCTCAATCGACAGTATTTAGCACTAAATAATCTGTCGCCACATTTGGACATTGATCTCATACTTAAGTAAGTCATCCGCGTAAACCTTGAGAATTATTCTTAGATAATACACAATGCAAGTTACGTAATATACGATGCAACATGACTTTTCAGATGTATGGAAGATGAGACGGTGCCGTACGAATTACGCGCGTCGTTTTGCCGACTTATGTTGCATCTTCACGTGGACAGAGATCCGCAGGAACAGGTGACACCTGTGAAGTACGCTCGTCTCTGGTCTGAAATTCCGTCGAAGATGAGCATAAACGAGTACGTGGAATAGTAGTTTAGGCAACGAACACAGAATGAATATTGTAAGAAACACTTGAAATACTTGTTTCATATAATTTTTCAGTTATGATACGAATAGAATGCCGGATCAAAACAAAGAAGCTGTCCGTACCAAATTCAGCTCGACAATCATGTTCGTTGAAGATTATCTTTGTAACGTTGTTGCGAAAATGTGGTCGTTTGGAGATCAGGAGCAGAATAAGCTCACATTTGAGGTGCGTGAAGCCCTTTCTGCTCATTTATTCTGATTTAAAAAATACATTATATTCACTTGTTGTACTTACATTTTGTTCGCAGGTTGTTAAATTAGCGCGTGATCTAATATATTTTGGATTCTACAGCTTTAACGATTTATTAAGCTTAACAAAGACGCTGCTTAGTATCTTGGACTGCGTGTCAGAGAATGACTCTGATGGGAAAATCCCTACAGGCGATATCGATTGTAAGTATTTGTTAATTTAATTTATAATATGAAATATATAATCTACATACTATGTTTTGTATCGCAGATCAAAGTTCATAGGTCGATAAATCCCACGAACGATACTTTGTAGTGAATCCACTTTTAGTCACTTATATATATTTGCGCGCATGTCTGGTAGCAATCGTAAAGTTTGATTTTATCTTGCGCCATATAAATGTATCATACTGATTTAACGAGTTTTCCTCGGAGTTCCCCTTTTGCAAACGTATCGTATAAGCAGTTATGTCTTACTCTGCTTTTGAGCGCAGAGCTTTTGAAATCCTTGTACATAATGCTTTTTTTTCATAGCTTCATTTCTTTATAGCGGTGTAACATATTAGTATTATATGTGCCCCACGCTTCAAAAAGACTTTTTTGATAAAGTACTCTCGCGCGACTTTAGTAAATTATTTATAACATATAGCAAAGTAGATACAATTGAAACTAATCAACTTACTCTTGTAAATATTTCATCACAGCTGAGTCAGTGGATTCTGAGGAGGCAGGTAATATGCCATTAGAAAGCTCATTAAAAAAAGCTCTGTTAGACTATGATATGTGCAATGTATGTTAGTAAGATTCAGCATGTTATTTTTTATGTTGTACGAAATAGGTCTACAAAGCTTTCAATCACCAGAAATTTCATTTTTTCTTCTTTTTATTAAATTCTTGTTAGGAATTAATATTTCTAAAAATTTATAAAAATATAAAGAGACAGATAAGTATATTATATTATAATATTATAGTATATTATAATTATATTATATATTATATTATTATTATATTATAATATTATAGTATATTATAATTATATTATAATATGTTTAATAATTGTACGAGCATCTGTTTATGCTTTGTTTTAGCAATGGAATTTTGGCAATGGAATTTTGGAATGAAATGTTAAGATAAATTTCTTGTGAGATGAATAACTACATTTTCTGACTTAAAATTTTAACGAGTGAAAACTTGTTAGCGAACAACGAAATCAATTATATTATTTCACATATTAGTTTCTATGTGTAAAATTCTATATTTTAACACGAATCAAATTTCTACTGCACTATGATTGAATTTTATAGTATATGTGAATGGTGTTATTTATTGTACGTCTCAGTAAGAGTGTTCCTCTTGTGGTATGTTGTAATAGCCGAAGGAGGCGTTCTTAGATGCATCGGTGACATGGGTGCTGTGATGACGAATTTAACACTAGGACCAGCTGGTCAAGTTCTAGCTAGCTCTTCGCCAAGACCAAAGCCACTAATGAAGAAAGAATATCCTTTGGTGATGGACACGAAGCTCAAGATAATTGAAATCTTGCAGTTTATTCTCGACGTTCGACTGGACTACAGAATTTCTTGCCTCTTGAGCATATTCAAGCAGGAATTTGATGAAACCGAAAGGACTTCCGGAGACGTGAATCTAGGACAGAAAACTATCGATCTTGAGTCAATCGGCACACAAGCGGAAGGAATATTTGGCAGCAGGTAATTATTTTCACATATCTTTGAATGAGACGTGAAAACAATATTTTATATACAAGAATATATTTCAGTGAGGAATGTGCGGCATTGGATTTAGACGGTCAAGGTGGTAGAACGTTCTTACGCGTCCTACTGCATTTAGCTATGCACGATTATCCTCCGCTAGTCTCCGGAGCTTTGCATTTATTATTCAGACACTTCAGCCAGAGACAAGAAGTTCTACAGGCGTTTAAGCAGGTTAGATTCCTTCTCAGGCGTTGAAATATATTATTAAGAAAAAGATTAATAATACATAGATGCTGTTAACAGGTGCAGCTTCTGGTTTCCGATAGCGACGTGGAGTCTTATAAACAGATTAAGGCGGATTTGGACATTCTGCGCCAGTCTGTGGAAAAATCTGAACTGTGGGTGTTTAAATCCAAAGCGGCGGAAGAACATGGAAACAAAAAGAAAGCAAGCAAAGAGGAGGAGGATGAAGGAACAACTTCATCTCGGAAACCGCCTCTGCTGTCTATATTAGATAAACAAGGTTTTTATCAATAATCATTGCTTAGTACACGTTCTTCCTACGCTAATAGAAAGTAGAAATGCTTGATTATGTTATTAATTATAGAATCTGCTATCGATTTGGACATCGGGCCACCGTTGCACACCGAACAAGCTGAAGAATACAAAAAGATTCAGCAGATACTGATGAGAATGAATAAACTTTGTATTCAACCTCTGCTGAGTGGTCAATTGAAGGCACGCAAACATGAACAACGACTTTTGCGTAACGTCGGAGTACACACTGTCGTCTTGGATTTATTACAAGTTCCATTCGACAGCAAAGAAGATATCAGAATGAATGAATTAATGCGTCTAGCGCACGATTTCCTGCAAAACTTTTGTTTGGCTAATCAACAGAATCAGGTTCTTTTGCACAAGCAATTGGATCTGTTCTTGAATCCTGGTATAAGAGAGGCGCAAACAGTATGTAGCATCTTTCAAGACAATTCTGTCCTTTGTAATGAGGTCAATCCGAAGGTCATACAGCACTTCGTGCACTGCATAGAAACGCACGGAAAGCATGTGCAATACTTGAAGTTTTTGCAAACTGTAGTGAAAGCTGAGAATCAGTTTATCCGAAAATGTCAGGAGTTGGTGATGCAGGAGGTGAGATTTCCTTTTTTACACGTTACATTCTATACATAGAAATCTCGTACAAGAGACTTATTCATTTTTCATTTTTTCTTTAGTTAGTTCAATCGGGAGAAGATGTTTTAATCTTTTACAATGACAGAGCTTCTTTCAATCATTTCGTGGAGATGATGCGATCGGAAAGACATCGTATGGACGAGAGCAGCCCGCTTAAGTAAGTTATTTCTCTGTATTTCTAAAATTAGACTCATATTTTATACAGCATTATTGACTGATTTATTTCAATATTCTGGAATCTTTCAACTAAAAAGTTGTATTTTTAGGTATCATGTAGAATTAGTGAAACTTCTGGCCTGCTGCACGATGGGTAAAAACGTCAATACCGAGATTAAATGTCATAGTCTCTTACCACTGGATGATATCGTCGCCATGGTATCACATCAGGACTGTATACCAGAGGTAAAAGTCTCTTACCGAATTTTTAGCATCTACCTACATTACATTAAGATAAATATAGAAGGGATCATTGACTCGTGAACTAATATTCTTGCGTTTTAGGTGAAAGAGGCGTATATCAATTTTCTCAATCACTGTTACATTGACACGGAAGTCGAAATGAAGGAGATTTATACGTCGAATCATATGTGGTCTCTATTTGAAAAATCCTTTATAGTTGATATGGGTTTGATTGCATCGTCTACTCATGATCGACGTCACGCGGATACAGCCTTAGAAACTTACGTGACGAGTTGCCTAATGAACATTATATCCACGTTTTTCAGCAGTCCATTTTCTGATCAAAGCACCACCGTGCAGGTAATGCCTTTATTCGTTGCACTATGAGAGAAGAATATTATTGATTATCTTCAATGGTATATATCTATATATATAACATATACACATACCTATATCTCCTCTTTATTAATTAACTAATCTACGTGTTATAACATCTCATTAATATATTTATTTCTTCGATTAATTTAATCTGACGGTGCAGTATTTAATTTTGATATCTCGTCCAGCACCGAATAATTGATCGATTTGTTTACATTGAACGAAGTACGGAAATCACATTTTTAAGTGTCCAGAATTAATGTTGACAATGAGATTTATGTGGTGTTATTTCAGCACCTTGTTCTTGGTGGAAATATTGTCGCACATATATTATTTATAAGAATGGGTCGATTTAATCCTACTTGTTTGAACTATAACACAGTGTTCTACAGGAAAGAAACAATATATACATTGACATACATACACTGATGATGATATAACATTCAATAGAACGAATTTTACCTTTTGCTTAAAGGGGATAACTAAATAAACCAATTAGCACAAGACAATAGACATATATTCTAATCACAACATAACATACGCAGAATACATCTATTCACTATATCTGATAACTTTTCGCTTTGCATGGAAACACAAAATTAAGTTCACTTACTAACCAAGTACATATCAAACATACATGTATAAAAAGAAACCTCGATTCACTCTTCAAGCAAAATATTACGTGGCGAACTGTATCAATTTTTTTAATTGAAATTTTAACATGTAGAATATGTAAAATATATAGAATATTTAATATATAGAATATGTAAAATTTTAACTAGCAGCGTTATATTGAGTTAGTGCAATTAGTAATTACTTCGTATTATTAAATCAAACGATTACTAATTGTTATAATTTATACATAGCTTTTTTGTACAATTTATATACCTTACTGTCTACAGAAATAAGTTAAAGATCGATACAACTGAGACATCATTATATTAAACATATATTGTATGGTATGTGCTTGGTCATTGCTGATTGCATCAGCGGCATGTTCTGTGTTTTTGGCATGCAACACCCGGTCTTCTTTGAACCAACGACATTGGTTTGCTGGGTCTATGGGTACTATATGGGTCTATATGGTGGTGGGTTGGTTTACTAATAGAAACATCTGCACGAGGCTAGACTCTATTGGAACATCAAGGAGTGCGATCGGAATACAGATAATAATCTTTCTGGCTATGTGAGTATTGAATGCTAGAGTCTTCTGTTAATTTTGGGTATAAATACAATAAAATAAGAAATAAATATATATCGTGTAGAGTTATAATGAATATACGAAAATATGAAGTGAAAGGAATTTCTCTTGGTTGGTTACGTATAACGACAAGAATTTGTTTTTGCGGGATAAACGAGTTTCTGAGTTGTACATTATACTTGTAAATTATTGCGATTGGCTACTAGAAATGCTTCAGCAGCACAACTGACATTGTAAATACAAGCTGCATTCTCTTTCTTACGTACGCCTGTGTATCATATGTCTCTGCATAACTAAATTAACACATTCATTGTCATCGTTGGATGCAATCACTCTTGTAAGCTACATCTGTCGATGCTAACCACGATTATTTTTATATCCCCTTTTTATCCTCAAGATTTTTTTCTTTTATACTCTATCTATGTGTTTCCCAAATTGTTCTAACTTACAAAGGAAAGTTTGCGATTCATATAGCATGTACATAATGTTTCTCTATTCGGACTGCTTGGCAATGAGTGTGTTACACTTTATGCAAGACGACATTATAAAATGTAAGGGTGATTTTATATGTAAGTAAAAAGTAAAGAAGAAATTTACGTGCACTAACGTTACAGTTTTTGAATATATATAATATATAAAGTTTTTATATATTGTCACTTCTACATTTATTTTAGATATAATAGCAAATTATATAGAAAACTTCTATATAAGTAGCTTGATAATACAGTTTCCCTTTTTTTGCTATCATAACATGGACAATTTTAATTGATTTTTGCATTTACTTTTTCATGGAACAGACAAGGCAACCTATATTTGTTCAGTTGCTTCATGCAGCTTTTAAAGTATCACAATGTGCATGGTTAAATGCTGGACAAAGATTTAATGTCGAGAACTGCATACGGACACTGTCAGATGTAGGTAGGTGTCCTTCCGATTTGCAAATGAATATCATCTGTTTGAGTAATAATGTTTATTCACTTGGACTTAAGTAACGTGAATTCATTCCTTTTAATTTTAGCTAAAGGAAGGGGCATTGCTATACCGACTGATCTGGAGAGTCAAGTTGCTGCTATGTTCAACAAAGCAGCCATGCTCAGTAGACAGACCAACAAGTGGTTGCAAGCAGCTAAACAACCAAAGATTGAGCGCAGTCAAAGCCAGGTAATTTACAACAATAATAATATGTAATACGTCAGTGTACACCCCGTTCACGTGTGAGCAAATGTATAATAAATTTGCTTAAATGTATAGAGTGACCTACTTTGTATGGAAGGCTCTAACAATGAGGTAAAGGTCACTCGCGGAAGCGTAGCACTTCATGCACTAGTTTAGTGATGCTATGTAGTGCGATTGCTAATTTAGTACGCTTTTGCATACACAAATCATGTGGACTTTGTATGTGAAAATGTTAAATTATTGTGTCACAGCTATGTACAC